GAACCGGTGACCTTCTTGCTGAGAGGCATCAGCTCTACCAACTGAGCCACCGTGCCGCCCTTGTTTTGTTTATAATACAAGGCAAATTATTTTTAAAATAGTCATCTTATATTGCAGGAATATGTGAGAAGTTTAACGACTTCTACGTAATTGTCATTTTGTGTTATTTTATTTTATTGCCAGTGTGAAGTCGCCCCCTGCTGGCAAACAGAAAGACTGCATGTCTGGGAGAGTTGCTTTTTTTCCCCTCTACTTCTTTTAAATGCAAAAAATAATTATTTTTAATTGCAACAAGTAAAGGCCCCTGTATTCAACATTTAGGGGATTATAAAACAGATTTTATAAGATAATGTTTTGGTTAGTTTAGTGAAGGTGGAGGTCCTCCCRCAGTGTTTTGGGAGCTGGGCGGACCTTTTCACCCACATGATGCGGAAACAGTGTTTCCCATCGTTCAAGGAGCTCTTGTTTCATTCAAAAGTATTTATTTATGTTGAAATATTCACCGGACAATAACCCACCCATGCAAGAAGTTGGATCAACTGAAGTTAGTTTGACTTTTTTTTGCACTTTTACTACGAATTTGCGCACTTTCTATTTAAATGTTAAACGATTTTATGCGTAGTCATGTATCTTAATTAAAAGTGCCTTATATGTGTAAGTAATTTGTATTTAACATGACCTCTCTGCCGAGTTTGACGTGGTGTTAGGGCTTTCCTGCTGAGAGCCACCTCCCCCCTGCTGTGCTGTGGGGTCACTGTGGGACCCCCTGCCTGGTGAATTATTAAACACATCAGTATGAGGACTCCTTCAGTAACACGCTCACATGAACAAACAGCATCAAAGGGACAGCACTGTTGTTGTTGTTGACAGACATGGAGCGTTGCCACATATTTGGTGTGTTCATTTCTGACCCGGGCCCCTCTCCAAACCCAGAGTCCTGCCTTCCCTGCACCACATCCACTCTCCTGCAGGGCTGAAGAAGTTGACCATTAACCTCAGGCTGACTGCAAACACCTCCTCGCTCGTGAACGACTGCTTCTGCGACTGCGGAGCTCAAAGCAAAGTTCACTGTGACAGGCAGCGCTGGAGCTGGCTGCTGTTGTTTTTTCCTCCCCTTCTGCAGGAGCTGAATGTGCAATCATGGCTACAGCAACCTACGGATACTACAGAGGGACCATCTTTATGGCCATGTTTGTGGGCTACACGCTGTATTACTTCAACAGAAAGACTTTCTCCTTTGTGATGCCTTCTCTGATGGAAGAAATTGAGCTGGATAAGGATGATCTGGGTAAGAGGCTTTGAGTTTTGCAGTATGTTAATGTCAGTTTGATGTATTGTGCACATGTCTTGTATAACTGTCAAATCTTCATCCGCTTCACACGCACCTTGTCTCTGTGTGTTCAGGCATGATTACCAGCAGTCAGTCTTTGGCCTACGCTATCAGTAAGTTCATCAGCGGCGTGCTTTCAGACAGGATTAGCGCCCGCTGGCTCTTCTCCATTGGTCTGTTCCTGGTGGGAGGCATCAACGTGGTCTTCTCCTGGTCCTCGACGGTGGTCGTCTTCTCTGTCCTGTGGTTTATTAACGGCCTGGGACAAGGTCTGGGCTGGCCCCCCTGTGGCAGGGTRCTTCGTAAGGTACACAAGCAGTAAATCATCTGGATCAGATTAATGTTTCTCTTTCTCCTTGTGTAAAAAAATAATCAGGCAAAATATTACATACATAACATCACACACATGAAAAATGATCAAATTAAAATTACTAAAAATAACTTATTCAAGTATATTACATATATTGTTTTATTGTATATAAATTTTACTGTAAATACACCCATTAAATACAATGAAAACTGACACTATTAACATGCATATTTTAGATTTTTAACATGTTTAATGGCGAGCTCAAATGTGCATGGTGTCCAACAAGACAACAGAGACTTTGTAGTTGAACAGATTTGATTAAGTTGATTCACATTTAAAAGGATATGTTGACTGCTTTGAAAAGGTTTCTGTAAAGAGGTGGTGAGCAGTTAATATCCTACCTGTTGCAGATAGCTTTTTGAACAGTGTTTGTTTGGAGGAATAGAGTCTGACTTGACTGACAAGCTGACAGCAAGGTCAAACAAGACTTCAAAAATAAATCACTGAGCTGTGACTGTTTAAGAGACTAGCTGGTGACTTGGGAAGTAAAGATCCTTCAATGTCTGTAGTTGAGAGCGTCATCTGTTCTGCTGTCTTCTGTTGGGGCAGCAGCATCAGAGCCAGGGACCTAAAAAGGCTAAACA